CCCCCCTCCTTTGCATAAAAAAAAAATAGATCTTGTGTTAGGCTTAGAAAGAATTAGACTAAAAAAAAAGAAAAAAAAAGTAGAATTAGACTAACATAGATATCATGTTCAAAAGGGATTATATCTTAAAATATGTAATCCCTTAATTGATTTGATTTAATTTTGATAATAATGGATTGATGGGGAGGGTGAGCCCCTATATTGAAAATTGTGAATGGTATAAAGTTTTGGATTACAAATAACCTTATCATATTCGATTATCTAAGTCGATCTCATGGACTAGATTGAAACGTAACAAAATACATAAACCTATCAAAATGCATAACTAACAAAGTTTACACGGATGGTCGGATGTAAATCATGTAATAGCCAAGCTTAGCTTGATTGTGATTATTCTAGTATATTACTCATTTTTTTTTTATGAAAAATGTTATACATAGCCCTTAGGGCTACATATAAGCATTAAATTTACACTTGAAAATCGTAAAAAGTTAAGAAATCATTAAAATATAAACACTAATTACACTAATTTACGCATGTGTTTTGTCATGAATTCCTAATTTTATACGGAGTACAATTTTCAAAAGTGTATTTAATGCTTATATATGAACAATTTTTACGCGAATTAATAAACACAAAAAAGAATAGTTAAAGTACATTGAAAAAGTAAATTGACATTGGGTATGCAAAAAAAATAAAGAGAGAAAGTAATAAAAGTACATGGGAAAACAAATTTTACATGAAAAAGTTAAATTTGTTCAAATATTGTTGCAAATTTGAGGGAATTGTGGTAAAAAATTAATATTAATAGTTGTTTGAAAAGGCAAATGAGGTAAACAATTTGGGACTAAAATTTTTCCGTATAAGGGACTATCAAAAGGAGACGGATGGAGTAATAATTTTTTTTACCAAACATTAAGGACATATTCTGATTGACTGAACTCAGCTGAAGTGAACCGAACTGAACTGAACTGAACTGATTAATTAGTGATTTTTAACTACGGATTAGTGATCTTTGATTATTTATTGATTATTTATTACTATACATATGTGTATATACAAATGTACATATTATTATTATTATTATTATTATTATTATTATTAATTATTGATGATTATTATTATTATTGTTATTATTAATATTATTATTATTTCAATTATTATTGTTATTATTATTATTATTATTATTTATTGATGATTATTATTATTATTATTATTATTATTTATTACTTATTGATTATTGTTATTATTAATAATATTATTTATTGATGATTATTATTATTATTTATTGATTATTATTATTTCAATTATTATTATTATTATTATTTATTGATAATTATTATTATTATTATTATTATTATTATTATTATTATTATTATTATTTATTACTTATTGATTATTATTGTTGTTGTTGTTGTTGTCGTCGTCGTCGTCGTTGTAATAAGAGGTTAAAAGAATGAAATTTGGCTTTATATCATTAGCAATATCATTAGACGTAAATTAAGAGCTGAACTGAACTGAACTGAACTGAACTGAGCTGAACTGAATTGAACTAAATTTCAACGGAAGAGAACAGGCCCTAAATGGGGTATATTTGGATTTTTTTTTGCCACATGTATGTTTTGTTTAATTATTTGGCACTCAGCCGAAATTATACAGTATAACATAATCATGATATCTTTGATTCTTTTCTTATCACATTATTGGTAAAAATTGTCTTACTCCGTATTACTCCCTCCGTTTTTAAATATTTGCTCCACTTTTCTTTTCCGACCGTTTTTAAATATACTTGCTCCATTTCCTCTTTTGGAAAGTTTTTACAATATTTAATTCATTTCTCACACTTAGTGGACCCAACATAATACTCTTTCTCCTCCTATTCTTCCACTATTTTTGTTTTTTACAATTTTTTATTTTCTCAATTACCCCACTACCTCCATATTTTATAACTTTCTCCAATTTCTCCTAAAACTCCGCGTATGGAGAAATGGAACAAGTATTTAAAGACGGGGGAGTAATAAAAGTCATGTCATTACTTTTTTATTCGTTCCAACATTAAAGTACAAACCATGTGCTTAATATATCATAATATGACATGTTACAAATCAATTACGTAATAAATTTTTATTTGTGGACTTGTTCAAATCGCGGCTTTACTAGTTTCAAATTTTCAAATGATCGTATTGTTATGTTTATTAATTAATTATGGAGTATATTACATTTTTTGTATGCAGTATAAGTTTTTAAAAATATATAAGCATAATTATCTTCATCTATTATACATAAAAGATTGTGAGAGTGTGAGACTATATATACATTGATAAAATAAATCAAATAAAATCTCACTGCCTCACTGGTATTTATTTTATAGAAATTTATCTATAGTACTACGTATTAGAATAATAGTTATGTTTTCCCAATTTATTATGTTGTTTTTGGTTCACTATTGGGAGTGCTAGAATAACTTTTTTTTTTTCATACAAAAAGCATGAATAAGAATAACCAATACACGAAGTAACGAAGTACGTACTTCATATAACATGATAATTTTTTTCACCCAATTTTAGATAATTGAGTTGTATATTTCATTTCCATTATAATTAATATATACATTCTTTTAAAATAAAATCAATATAAAATAACGAAGGGAACATGACTTATCTCATCAGGGCCAATACATTTAATGATGTAACTATTTCATAAAAAAAAATCTTCTTCAAAAACCAAGCAGCCTGTGTCCACACCATTATTTTTTTTTTGGCAGTAACATATCCAACCATACAACAATTACTTTGTATATTACTATTACCTAGTGATAGAGTATTTATATATAAACCTCTAAAGACTCTGCATGTTGGTTAGAGTCTCTAACCAACATGCACATAGTTTTTTTTTATTAGTTTAGTTAATTGGTCATTAATTAGATGGAGTACGTGATGGACGATATAGTATCAGAGCTAATGCGTGACATGCAAGAAAATTACACAACATAAGTTTTTTTTTTTTTTTTTTTTTTTTTTTTTTTTTTTTTTACAAACACACAACATAGGTTAATTGTACTGTTGTAATCTATATATAGCCTCATGTATAAGCTAAGGGAAATCATGCTTCATTTACAATAACTTCAAGTCTAGAAGACTTTTATGCAATTATGCAAGTGAATGTGATGAAAATATAAAAACATCTCGACTCTAACTACAAACCATAACTATTAGTTGGTTGTATCAGTCATTTTATAATACTCGGTATATATATTTGTTTCTAGAAAGTAAAGTAGGCGGATAACATAAGCATCTATCCTTTCGGATAAAATATATTTCTGGATGCATATGAATCGGCGATGAATCCAGAATTTTATGGATGGAGGTAACTTGAGAAAGGGTAAGGTAGGGCAGGCGATACCGGGTGAGAAAGACACAAGACATCACTAGTACATTAAAGGCGTACTGCAATTGATAGCTGCTTCTAGACGACCCATCTTCTATTTATCGACAATGTTTGTGACAAAAAACAAATGTATGCCCGTGACATTCATCACAATAATTTGTCCATGCATGCATACCTTTCTTCATGTCTCAAGTAAACATTTGTGACGCACTTACATACGAACTACTTGTATTAGGTACTACTTTTGTAGGTCCAATTATGTTATGCATGTATTACCATTAAACTAACCTGTCAATTCGGGTTGTTTTGGTTGTTTGGTTTAAGTGATTTAAATTGTTTGGATCAGTGTGAATCATGATAAATGGGTCAAAGCGGGTCTATTCTGGGTCATCTGAGATGGATTGGGTTTTCTTTTAGTAAAGTTTGAAATCGGATCAGGTCAAGAATTGACGATCTAATAACCCTTCATAAGGTATATAATTATAGTAGGTAAAGCATTTATATATGAAATCATCACTTCTTCTTAATTAGAATAAGCATTGAGTAGCCGTACGTAGCTACTTGTTTATTAGATCGACTATTAATCAACACTAATTTACTTCAATACTTTATCTTTAGTCAACTTATGGGTAAAAAAAATGTTTTTTCCTAAATCTAGCCGCCTAAGTGCCTAACCTAAGAGTTGATGTTTAATTAGGTCTCTTGCTCTGTTATGAATTTTATTTATAAAATACTCCTTATACAATCAATATGCAGCCATGCATGATTTGCGCTTTTACTTGAAACATAACATATACATTTTTTTTTATAAGAACATAACATATACAATTATACATGGTACCAAACATAAAAAAATTCAATAATCAATAAGGGGAAAAAAGAAGAAAAAGAAAAAAAGAGGTTTGTGTTTGAAATATACACACTGATACGAAACTATATAAGTACAATAGATAACTCAAAGGAAACAAATACTTACAAAAGTCCAAACTTGTCAATTAAAATAAACCAAGGAAGTATAACAAATGAACAATACTCCCACGAGTCCCACCATTTATTGTAAATGCCTAGTTTGATTTTTGCTCATACTATTTACACACATTACTTGACCAATACTAGTGCTTTACAGACAAGCATATTAGTACTTGTTAAAATTGTCTCACTATATATATTTCAAATATCAACTTTATAAAATATATATATTTACTGATAATTTTAAATATTACTGTATTGATTAAAAGGAAAATTTGTATTTTACTAGCCACAAATACCCATTTTTTGAAATTTCCACTAAAAAAATTATTTTAAATTACCATCCATAAAAGAAAATAATTAATTACACTTTTCGTTTAAAAAGCCATTGAGTTTAACATTTTAAAAAGATTCATCGATTTTCAAGCCAAAAACATGTTGGATAGATGTTTTGAGGGATCATTTTTGTCCTTTAGGTCCGATTTGAAATCAAAATTTACAAAAAATGATTGAAAACACCTTGTTTTGGTACTAACTGATACATTGATTTGCATGAAACACACAAAAGAGGCCTTTTTGTTAATTACTCCGTATTTGTCAATTTTGACTTCAAATCGGACCCGGCCTTTAAGCAAAAAAATGGCCCCTAAATCTTCTAGAGAGCATGTTTTGGCATGAAAATCGAAGAAATTTATTTAAAAACGTTAGATTTAACAGTTTTGGTGGTCAAGTCTATATTTTTTTTTATCTTTTATGTTTGGTAATTTAAAATATTTTTTGTTTTTTGGGTGATATTTTCAAAAAGTGAGTTATTAATGGGTAATGAAATACAAAATTTCCTTAAAGACTTAAAATAACACATCAACAAAATGAGGATAAAATACCCAATGTGAATAAATTGATACAAATTCTACAAATTCAAGTCCAATGACCCAAAAACTAGCCCAACCCAACAACCATTATTCCCGCCAAAACAAACATCAAACCCTCGCAATTTTCCCGCCACAACAATTCCAATTATATAAAGTATAAACTACCCACCTCTTTTTCCCGCCATTGTCAAATCTCCCACAATTTTCTCTCTCCTCACTCTTTCTCTCTCTTCAAGTCCGCCATGGAAGCTCGTACTCAAAGCTCGAGAAAGCGAAAGCAATCATCCTTTTCTTCATCATCTGCAGCAGCAAATTCAAATCCATTTTCTGGGATTTTAACCCGCCATAAATCCCAGAAGTTTTTCTTCCATCATAATAGATCTGGGAAATCTCGCAGAAGTCGCTCGTTTCCTTCTTCTCTTACCAATCCTAAATTGCCCAATAATCAAAGATTGCTTGATTGTAATGTTCGTGATGTTGGCGTTGAAGAAGATGATTCGATTTGCCAGATTTCGATTAAAGATCTTCGAGCTCGGCGGGTTTTCTCAAAGCCTGTTGGAGTGGATTCTGTGGGTAAGATTCGCGATGATAAAACTGGTAAGAGTGTAAACCCTAATTTTGATTCTGAGTTAAATGCTGGTAAATCGGATGGAAATGGCAAAAACCCTAGTTTATTGGTAATGGGGAAATGTGATTCAGGGGTTGAGTTTAAGGGGGAAGGTTTGAATGGTGAAAACCCTAATTTGGTAATGTTGAATAATTACGATAATTCTGGGGCTGAATTGAAGGTAAATTCAAATGGTGGAAACCCTAATTTGTCAATGCTGGACAAGTGTGTTGAATCAAACGGTGAGAATTTGAATGGAGGAAACCCTAATTTGTCAATGCTGGACAAGTGTGTTGAATCAAACGGTGAGAATTTGAATGGAGGAAACCCTAATTTGTCAATTGAAGGAATTGGCGCCAAAAATGATTGCGTAGCTCGGGTTTCAAATGATATGAGCCCTAATTTGAGTAAAAAAGATTTGAACGGTGAACATTGTGAGGAAGGTGTGCAGACAACACCTCCAGATGCTGCGGTTTTGATCAGGCAGAGTGAAGATCAAAGTGTCCTGAGGAGCAGAAGTTCTGATTCGAGGTCGCCGCCGAAGAAAATCAGTCCAAGTAAAGGTGGATTTGCTGAGGGGAAGAGGAGTTTTCCTAATTCCAAGAGAAATTTGGTGAGCATTATATTTTTTTCTCCTTACAATTTGTTTGTGTTCAAGTTAATAATTTCATTTATTTGGTGATGATTTGGCGGGAACTTAGTTTATGAAGCTTAGTGTTTGTATGAGATTATTTGCAACTTTTTGGTTATCTTTGTTTGTAATTTATGTTGAATTTATAATGCAATAGGGTCTCACTCCGTGCTCGAGGCTGAAGGTTTTTAAGGCCCCGAATTCGTTCAGCTACAAGAGACTGCTCCCTTTCCTAATGGACTTGTCAAAGGATACACCAAGTAATCCCTTAGCCCTCCTTTTATATGTTTCTAATTTTACATATTCGCTTGGTTCATGTAGTCGACTACACTTATGGGATTAAGGCTTTGATTGATTGATTGATTGATTCGTTTGATTATTTGTTTGTCAATCTATGAGTATGTTATTGTGGTAATCAATAGCCTTATTGAATAAATGTTTTATACAGATGCACCAAAAGTTAATCCAAGCATTAAAGTTGAGAAGGTGGAAGATAAGCCTCTAATTTTCTCCTCTCAAGAAAATGTCATTGATTGTCCAAAATTGGATGAAAAGCCAGTGGCAGCTGCAGTATGTTGCGAATCACCGGAAATGAATGTTGATGGTAAAGAAGAGGTTCTTTTGGACCTTAAGACTAATGTTTCTGATCCTCAGCAAGCTGCTCCATGTACCCCTGACAGTTGTTCTATTGAAAAGGTTCAAGAAACCCCAGTTTTCGATAAAATCCAAATCGAAAACCCTGTATCAGACGATCCCAAGAATGGTGGAGCATCTTTTGATAGCCAGGTTTCAAATATGGGGAAGTCTGGAGATATTAGTCCAATCGTCGAATCTGATCTTGCTGTCACATTGCATAGCCCCAAGAGAAGTGCTGAACCTTTAGGGGAAGAAGCTGTTTTAAATACTCCATCTCATTTGTCTCTGTCTTCTGAACAAGAATGCAGGACAGTACATACAGAGTCAAATTCTGTAGGAAATCCAGTTAATGTCCTTAACAACTCTTCCACCCTGGAAGCTGTTGTTTCTCCAAGTGTTCCTAGTTCCGGCCAAGCAAATGGTATCCTAAAGAGAAATCCCCGGGGTTGTCGGGGTATATGCAATTGCTTGAACTGTGCTTCATTCCGTCTCAATGCAGAAAAGGCATTTGAGTTTTCAAGGAATCAGTGGCTTGATGCCGAAGAACTTGCTATGGACTTGATGAAGGAGCTGTCAAACCTGCGGAGTATTTTAGAAAAATCTGTCAATGGATCTGATGCTAATGCTGTTGTCCCAGTTGATCAGGTAACAATTTCATTTTCATTTTCAATTACTCCATCTTTTGTGTTTGCTATGATATTGAGATTATTACGATGATCTATGTTGATGTTTGCGTTTCTTCTATAGAGAATATAAGATACTAGGATAGTGCTACACTATGGTTGCTAAATTTCATCTATACAAGTCATGGTCATAGTTATGGCAAATTTCGAATCAATGAAAAGCCTGAATGTGTTATGTTACAGTACTTGATGATTTATTTGATATACCTTGAACTTTTGTCTAGGAGAGGAGAAGGCTATGCCTCTGCACTCATGAATGTGCAACAATCTAACAAATACCTTTAGGTTGAATTTTAATCATAGTGATTAATTTATAAAATTTCTTTCTATATGATGATTTTGATTTATTTATGTATTACGCAGTATTTATCATAGGAGGTTCCAACAATATTCTCTATTATTTACTTCACCAAGAACATTTGAGGAATTGTCCTAAATTTTAGCCCACTTTTGCTTCTATGGAAAGTCTGTTAGTGGGGTTTTCTCTCCGAAATTATGTTGTTTGGCTAGTTGTATGGTAGTCATGGCATGAATGCTTACTGGAAGTAAACTATTCATCCCCTCTTCTGATTATATTGTGTTTGTGATGCTTTGAAACTATATTCTCAACTTTCTCCCTTTGTGGTCACATTAAAATCTTTGAATGTAATACTATTTCTAGCTAGAAACACATAAAGTAGAAGTCACTTCAATAGTTTTGCTGATCCAAAGTTTGTGCAGGTTCAGGAAGCTTGCAGGAGAGCTTCCCATGCAGAAGATACAGCAAGAAGTCGAATTGATCAAATGAGTGAAGATCTCCACGTTCATTGCAGAACCAAGGTAAATCTCATACACATTGTCCTTGATATTTCTTTTGACATATTAAGCTCATACGAAGTATATCTGACAATTTCATCTTGTTACAGCCTTTGCAGCGTCCTGGGGTAAATTTCTCAAGCTCTGTCCAAGAAAAGAAAGATCATAGGAGCCTAGGAGGAAGAACTTTTGCTAGATGTCGAAAAGTCTCAATGAGGATCTTGGACTAATGATTGGAAGACTTCTCTCAGTTATGGAAATTGATTATACCGTGGTATTGTTCTAGAGTTGAAATGTACTTGTCATTCATGATTGTAGCTTCTTGAAAAAAGGGGTGAAGGAAAGAATCTCATTGACTGACTCATGTAGTCATGTTTGTCGAAATACAATGGCTAAGGGATCACCTAATGACAGTTACTACTAAAACTCACATTAATGCATTTGTAAGTTATAATTTAGCTTATATTATATGATAGCAATAGCTGTGGGATTGTTATTGCAACTCAATGATCTGCTTCCCAAATTCATTCATGACAACACATAGCTTCATTGCGATGACTCGTTGATAGTTTGTCAGTGACATCTCAAGCAGCAATACATGTAACTATTAATAGGTACTAAACCATATCATATTTATGAATCATGTTTTCATGTGAACTAACCATTATTTCTGCTGTCATGTGGACATGTAGTAGTTTTTGGTATGCTTAGCTAATATCCTTTACTTTTCTTTAGTTTGGAAGAATGATAGTCATATTTTCGGCCACTTGATTACTTCACCGTAGCATATGTTTATGCTGTACTAAATATACAGGAATTTTTGCTTGGAGGCAGACTATAAAGAGGTTTAAAACATTCGAAAGAGGTCAACAAATTAAAAGGACTAAAACAGGACTTTTTATTTTTTATGAATCAAAGAATGTTAATAGATTATTGATCAATCAAATACAAAGAATTTCCAATGTGAAAAAAAAAAATCAATTTAATTTAATTTATGCCATATATGCGTTGATATGATAAGGATTTAGTTTCCACTTCTATCCTTTAAACCCTGTTATGCTTGCACTCAGTAGGATAGCCTTGAGGAAATCGCTTTGAATCACTACAATAATCATAGACCTTAAAATGCTTATGCACCCATCTCATTCTTTTCCTGCCATTTGCATCGAGATCATGGCTCCTCCATGAAGCACGCGTTGTCCCTCCATTAGCCGGCCTTTCAGAGTTGATGGAAGCCTCAGGTTCAAAAGCACAAGAGGAGGAGCTGCTACCTACAACACAGGCATCGATATTAAAGTTACGATAGTAGGCAGTGAAGGGGGCCTTGGACCAATCTGTCTTCACCAAGCCACCTTGAGTAGCCCAATCGTCAGCATTCCAAAGGCTAGAGTGTATTGTCATAGGCTGGTTCTTTGGAAATGCAACTCCATGTTTTTCATGGTTTCTGAATATTCTTATTGGTGTTTCATCCACCAAAAACCTGCAAGTTAAATCAATGTTCACATAGAGTTAAACATATGTTCAGAAAGAAAATAAAAACGCGCTCATAAAACAAACTAGTAATTGAAGTGGTGTTTAGCTTATTTACATGATGAGTTTTGTGTTCCAAACAATGGAGTAAGTGTGGAAGTTCTTGGTAGGATCAAACCATAGTTTGAATTGCTGCTCCCTGCTTCCTTTCCCCTGGCTGAACACATTCGTGTGGACGGTGTAAGGATTGCCACTCGAGTTTCCCAAGAACTCGAAATCAATCTCATCATGGATACCTGTGGTTTGATCAGCTGATAACTGCAAATTGTAATACAAAAATCAGCAAATTGTACAACTTAGCTGCCATTCAAATGCATATAATGCAAGGACTATAACTTGTACTTCTGTTAACTATTATTTGCAATTTTGGAATTTTTTTTTTCTCACCAAAAATATCCCAAATTTGCAGATGAAAATTAAGGTAGTAATAATAATAACGTGAAAAAATGGGGCTTACATAAAATGTTGTGACGGTGCCAGCAGAGTTACCAGGAACGAGTTTAATTTGCATATCAATCCTTCCATACAAGTATTCCTTCTGGGACCGAAACCCGGATCCAGTATACTTGTCTAGGGTAAGAGATAAGAGACGGCCATCCTGACCGAAGATCCGAACTCTGTTGTCTCCAAAAGTGGGCTGAAACTCATCCCTGAAGCTGCCTGCAGCGAAGGCCGTACTGCTGACCATGGCAGTAACTAGCAGAACAATCTTAGGCACAAGCAACTTGTACTTGTCATGCCAATGTGATGAAAATGCCATGTTTTTTCTTATAATGAAGAAGATTTATGTTTATTTGTAGTTGAGTGAAGAATATAGTTCAAGAGATAGGCATATATATACATGTAATATGGTGAATTATTAGTATTAGTAACGTAGATCTAATGCATGGTTTATAAGAGGGAAGGTTCTTAGCTAGTGTATACTTAACGCGGAGCTAACTGTGGATTTGAGAGTATAAGCTGGCCAATTATAATTTAATTAGTCAAAGTAATAAAACTCGTTAATCCATTTTCATCTTAATTTAGTATTGATGAAATATACTAATATGTTAAAAGTCAACGATTTAGACAATAGCTATAGTTATAAATTTTTTTGTTGTTCCTCAACACAAATTATTTTAATTAAGCATTTGGGAGCATGATGCATATCGTGTTTTTAGAAATACACACATCTCAAAGGACATGCATACTAAAAGAACATGCAAATCTAATGAAAAAGGAGATTAACTGAGAGCGAGTATGACGCACATTATACCTAGCTACGATGGTCATGGGTGGAGTAATTAGCAATTTCTTAATTTATTGGGTGTGTCATTTGATTACCGAGGTGAATCCAATTAATCTATTATAAGTTTTAAATTTGTTTGTATTGTTGTGCTAGACATGAGGCAATTGCAATGCGCTTTTCCTAAGCTAGGTATGTTATACGACAAGCTCATCATGTTGATAAAAAAAAGGACTTGACCCACTTATTTCGTGTTCGATTCGTGTTGTGTTGCCACGTCGGATGAACTTTTAATTTATTAGTTCGAATTAGGCATATAATTTAATACTTCCTTTGCCAAGACTCTTTTTCTCTAACAGTCAAAACAATACAAGTTTTGTCAAATGTATATGGTGGTACAAGAATTCCCTTTAATCTAGGTTGTCGTTCGAATTAACTTTCTAATTTAGGTGCTATTAATTTTGTGAGCATATCTTGAATTATGTAGCATGCACCCATATGTGCACCATGTTCAATAATGTAATTTAATAAAGGTAATGTCAACGCTTAAACTAGGTATCTTGTGAGTAGTGACTAAATTCATCAATTCATTATTAAGAAAAGTAAGCAACTTTAGTTTAATTAAGTCGTCTCTTATGGAAAACAACTTCCTCGGTTACTCACTTGCTAAGCTGCTTGTTGTTTGTCAACGCCAGTTCATTATTTCATGTAGCATCTTATCGCAAGATTTGCAACAATAGTAATCTCCTTCAATCTCAAGAAACTTCATACGAATTAGGTTTATTGGTTAAAGTCTCTGCGATGATAGACTAATAGTAATATACGCTCAAATATAAGATCGAGTATCTTCTATCAGCATATCACAAACTTTAATTTCTACCCATCAACAAAGAAATAAGAAATAAAAATTTAATGCACTAAATAGTGAATCCAACACAAATTGAAGGGTTAGTAAATGAAACATATGGAGTTACAGGGTCAATCGAGTTAATTTTTGATGCAGAGAGAGTTGAGGCAGAGAGCCACATAGGGTTGTGTCGAAGGAGCTTGAACTCCAAGTTCTGGATACCAATCCCAAAACTTTAATCAACTAAGTTAATTGAATTCCACATGTTAAATCGAATTAAATAATAGAATTATTTAATTGCGTAGTCATTGATAAGAAAACTTTGTGTACCAAAGAGTAAAAGTGAAACAAATTGAAGTAATGAGTACGGAGTAATCAATATTCATACATCAATTTGAGTTTATTGTGAAAGAATAAAAGAAATAATTTGATTACATAATACTTCTTGAATGAAAACATTTTTCGTCAAACCAAACAAAATGTCTCAATTAGTGCTTGCATTCAGGAGGGTAACCTTGAGATGAGAATCGCTTCCAATCTTTGCAATAATCATAAACCATGAAATGCTTCTGGACCCACCTCATTCTATTCCTTGATCTAGCATCAAGATCGTGGTTCCTCCATGTGCCACGTGCAGGCTTTCTATAGGTTGGCCCTCTAGAGTGGGCAAAGGATGTTGGGCCAGTTACGCAAGAGGAATGGGGTCCAATCGGCCCAACACAAGCATCAATATTGAAGTTACGAAAGTAGGCCTTAAATGGGGCCTTGGACCAATCTGTCTTTACTAATCCACCTTGTGTGGCCCAATCATCTGCATTCCATAGGCTTGAGCATATTCTCATGGGTTGATTCTTTGGAAACGCAACTCCATGCTTCTCATAGTTTCTAAACACCCTTATTGGTGTTTCATCGACCAAGAACCTGTAATTTTAAATTAATCATCAAAAGATTGATAAAAGTCGACCTATTTGTAATTTTGTATCATAGTTAAACATTTAAATACTGACATGCAATAAAATCTAACTAGATTTTTCAGACATAGTATACGTGACTATTTGTAGTTTAGAAAGTATATGCACAACTCTATAGAGATAAAGGGGCAAAGATAAATAGTTGATTTAATATGACTTACATGATGAGTTTTGGGTTCCAAACAAAGGAATAAGTATGGAAGTTCGCGGTTGGGTCAAACCAAAGGTGGAATTGTTGCTCCCTGTTGCCTTTCCCATGGCTGAACACATTGGTGTGCAAGGTGTAAGGGTGGCCACTAACATTCCCCAAGAACTCGAAATCGATCTCGTCGTGTATACCCGTGCTTTGATCCGATGTTAACTACAAGTCACAATGCCATAAGATTAACATGCAGCTTATACATATTATTGCTACAATTGTGTCACTAAATTTTTTCATGAACTAAACAAACTGAAATATAAACTACGGAATATAATTTTAGCAGCATAAACGGACTTACATAAAGAGTAGTAACGGTGCCAGCAGAGTTACCACCAACAAGTTTAACCTGCATATCGACCCTTCCATACAAGTATTCTTTCTTAGACCGGAATCCAGATCCGGAATACTTGTCTAAGGACAATGAAAGAAGCTGGTTGGTCCGGCCCCAAACTCGAACTCTATTACCACCAAAAGTAGGCTCAAATTCATCACTAAAACGACCTATACCATAAACACTAGGGCACACCATAAGAACAACCATCACAAAATATTTTGCTAAATTTCCCATAATGTTTACTACAAAAAAAAAATGATGATTTAAGTATTTTAATTTGTAGATAAGTTATAAGTTTGTGAGATGATTTAGAAAGAGTGTAAGATCAAGTGTATATATACTAGTGAAGTGTGAAGATAAGTCACATGGAATTTCAGAATGAGTAATGTAAGACAAAGATACAACAACTGGAGTTTAAAGCATAATTAGCTGGACTATCATCATGTTATTAACTTCATAATTTACTGAAACTTGATCCAATTGGAATAATAATTCTGTTTTTTTTTTTTTTTTTGTTAGTTTCCTTAGTTTTAATTCATACAATATTCCGAATTATTTATGTCTTTTATGGAGTTAAATCATATAGTACTAATATTGGGTATATTAACTTATTAAGTACACAAGAAGTTTATTTGTTAATTATAAGATCAAAGCTTAAGCCATTGGCAATTAACTCTTATTTTTTTATGATTATACAAAGTACATAATTATATTACTAATGGTTTTTATCTATATTCGATGATAATCTAGCAAGTTTTATCATGTGTGATAGCATGTGAATAAGAAGAACATAAGCTATGATTGAGACAATGATGCGGGAACAAGTAGATGGCTTTACATAAATTATTAGTTGGTTATATTCTTGTATATTAGGATTATTATCTAGTTTTATCATTTATTGTAATTTATTATTACTACGTAATTAATATAGTATTTTAGTTTTAGAACTTAATCTTTATAGGATTATGTTTAATTTAAGTAAAATTAGTTAGATGACAAAATAGTGTATGTTACTTAAATTTAGTGTCGATGCCATTAGTTTAAACCTTGAAGTCGTCATTGCCTTTTAAGCTTTGTCATAGGATCGTAAAGCAAGATCCATACTATTATATTAATGATTGAACCTTCACTATCTTTATCTTCATTGATCTTTAGTTTGGGCTTCAATTTATCTCATTAATCTTCTTTGAGATTCGAACAACAAGTCTCGTCTATTATAAATTCTAATATGCAATGGGAATACATTAGGAATAGATATCTTAGATATACATATTTATCATTTATTTTGATGCATAACATATATAGATCGATAATGTTATTTCATATTATTTATTTTTGCAATTGACAATGCTATTTTTTGGTAGGTTAAATTATGTTCTTTAATATAACATATATAGCTTGAAAGAGTATATTATATTTTGGTAAAGGTTATGCTCTTACTCGTAATGTTTAAGAAGCCAACCATATAATTGTACATACTAAAGAGGCGTTTGGTATAGTAATTTTAGATGTAGGAATCTGATTCCAATAAGTGTTTTTATTTATAATTGTTTAGTATGGGTTAAAAGTAACAAATACCCTTTTCGAGGGGTAACAAAATCCCTCAATTTGTTACCCTTGACAAACTAGTGGAAACCAAATATGTTTCCTTAATCACATTTTACTCAATTTGTTTCCATTCTACTAAGATACCATATGAATAGTAAAGGTAACATTTATCATTATCTTTTCCCTACTTATTTTAATCCTTCCATTTCATTTGTTTTTATTAAAAAAAAATAATTATTTCATTATTGAACAAGTCACATGATATGACACCTACAAGGGCTACAACATAAATCAAAATGAGGAAAAAAGAGAGAGAAAATGGGGCCAGGAAAGCAATAAAGTAGTGTACACCGTTTTTGTTTTGCTGTATATATATAATTAGATAATCCTTGTGCGATACTTAGCTTTGTAACTATAGTAAAAAAAAAAAAAAAAAAACTAATTGCATTATGTGATGTAGTTTTTAATTTTAATAATAATAATACCAATGACATAAGTCTTAATAACCAAAACAAGAGAAAATCGGAAAACAGAGTTTGCCACAAACAAGCTAGGCCCAAGGAGGTTCATATATACGTAGTACTAAAATCAATTGATGATAATAATAGGAGTAACTCATCATCTATCATATAAAATGAAATCGTGTATGATTCCTCTTTCTTCAATAAGTGACACTCATAACTAAAGCTAATTAAAATAGATTTCTAACTATATCTAATTTTATCATGTATGCACAACATTAGGCAATTTTTTTAAAAAAAAAAATTGTGTATGATGAGTATGCACACTTAGGAGAGTTGCATAATTTTAGGATATATTTATTTTATGTATGTAGCTAGGTAAGACTTCGAAGAAGACTCAAAGACTAAAAAGATACATGCACAATATATTACACATACGATCTTAAAAATTGGGAGTGGAATAAGTTTGAATAATAATTGATTTCATTTTGAAATTGCTTCACAATAATACAACAGATTTTCAAACTATTTGACTCAATCTTGTAACTTGTAAATCATGTATGGATTGAAAAATGAAAATCAAACACACTTAACCTTAGTTTATAATAAATATATTGATGTAAAAATAGCAAACGTATACGTTTTGATCAATATCACACGTACAATAATGCTTTTTATAGTAACTTTTCAAGAATTAAAACAAACGTTACTTCAACAATATAAGTAGAGCAATCTATCGTGAATAACAATGGTGTAAAAACTCAAAGCGATGCATATTTTGTCAAACAATATAATGTTGTTTGTTTCCCTACTCGAAACCGTGCTTGCACTCGGGTGGAAAGGCTTGAGAGAATCGCTTCCAATCGGTACAATAATTGTAGATCATGTAGTTTTTTTGAACCCATCTCAATTTCCTCCGGCTGTTTGCATCAAGGTCATGGGTCATCCATCTCCCGTTCCTCGCGGTGTTGATGTTAACGTTGCGGTAGTAGGCCGTGAAGGGAGCCTTAGACCAATCTGTCTTAACCAATCCGCCTTGTGTAGCCCAATCGTCGGCATTCCAAAGACTAGCGTATATTCTTTGTTGTTGGATTTTAGGGAAAAACGTTATTCCTTTGTTTTCGTAGTTTCTGAATATTCTTAAAGGTGTTTCGTCAACCAAGAACCTGAAAAGTCAAAGGTCTTACATTAATTAAAAATGACTAGTATGTGACAAGTTTTAGTAAAGAATTACTATACGTACGTTCATATTTTAAATGTAGCAAAAAAAAAAATAATTTAAGTGTACTTACATGATGAGTTTTGGATTCCAAACAATGGAATAGGTATGAAAGTTTAGAGACGGGTCGAACCATAGGTGGAATTGTTGCTCCCTGTTGCCTTGCCCTTGGCTGAACACATTGGTGTGGATGGTGTATGGCTGGCCGGAAACGTTCCCTAAGAACTCAAAATCGATTTCATCGTGCCTTCCCGTGCTTTGATCAGATGACAACTGCATATGATAACGTCGTAATGTATGATAAGCAACTATAATACGATTACTATTTTTAAGAGTTTGTACAAACCAAATTAAACTATGACTAACGGATAAAATAATAATCGGCCTTATTATAATTAGTACTATGTTCCCACCATCGTCTCTAAATGTTGTTCCTATTTTGTAAAAAAAAAGTCAAAATAAGAACAATATCTAGAGGCGGGAAAGTAATTAAATAACGTACTTCAAATAAAGTAGTTGTAAGTTGGTTTATCTAGCTTATTTGACCTTTAAGTAATTAATATTGCTAGCTATTAGCTAGTACTTGTTGTTTTACTCGGTCATCGTCTGGTAGCTGACTAGCAGTAAATATATTTTGAAATATATATCGTAAATCATTTACTCGTATAGTAGTTGTTAGACGTTTTAATGTAAAACAACCAGCTTAAATTTTGGAAAGTAAATGCTATAATAAAAGTCAGCACACCTTTCTAGTACGAAATAGTAAATGTTGCTCGAACCAACTTTTTTTACGATTGAGAAATTTGATTTTAATTGTTTCACCACTTTGATAAGCAGGTTACTCTAGCTCTCAATTAATATCTATAAGGTTTTCATGTATTGATTTTCTAACAAGGTAACTATAAATAACAACCAACGTTCAAATAGAAAGAACTTTTAGACACGATGTGATATACTAAATTAAAAAATTATTTAATTGCAACATGAGACCACTAATAAGTAACCAAGGATAATGCATGTTACCAAGTAATTGTAAGCAACTTACATATAAGGTAGTGACGGTACCAGCAGAGTTACCAGAAACAAATTTCATCTGCATATCAATCCTTCCAAACAAATACTCCCTCTTAGAACGGAACCCGGACCCTGAACCCCTATCTAGGGTAAGTGCAAGTTGTTGGCCACCAGGACCGGATACACGAACCCTCGGACCACCAAATGTGGGTTCAAAATCGGTGTTAAAGTTCCCGAGACCATAGGCCGTGGTGCACAACATAAGAGCAACCACGACCGAGGTTACAACTTTAAGCACAATAACATTATTGTCATGCCGAGTCCCCATATTTTTTTTTTGGTTGTAGTAGTAAAGATAAGAAGCTAAGTAGAGTGTGGGATGTGGTTAAGAAAGAGTGGAAGAAGAGGTATTTATATAGTAGTGTGAAGTGGATATTATGCAAAAGAAGGAAGATTTATTAAATTTTTTAGTAATAATAATATGTGAATGGAAAGAGTAACAACTATAGTAGGGACTAGGGAGTATTAGCTGGCTCAATAATCAGACTCACCCGAAAATATTGATCCAAAATTAATTTCGTGTTTTTTTTGTAGGTCCCTTTATAAATTGGTTGGCACTTAGCTAAGATAGTTGTATAGATTTTTTGTGTGGTTCATAATTTTATGAAACAATCATGCACGCGTATGTTTAAATGGCTATAATTAAAGCATAGGGTCGAAAAGTTAATATTTTTATTTATCGATATAAGTTTTTTGATATAAACGACTCTTAAAGTTGCATACAAAAATTAAATATATTTTTTGAAGTATTAGTTTAATAATAATGTATAACAAAATTAGGTCGATAATCAATAATGTTATTAATACTTAATAATTTTTAATTGTTATTGCATTATCTTTTATTACGATTGTAGTAATCATTTTCAATTTTTTTAAGAAAACATTCATTTTCTTTGTTGTATTGTGTGTGATTGGAAAAAAAAATAATTGATTAATGCATGTAGTTTACAAAGTATTTTTAATAAGTAATAAAGTACGGGTACTTTCTACTTAATTAAACAAAATTTTAGCTTTTAAACGTCGTTGTATGTATTACTTATTATTTTTCCAAACACGGAGTACGAATTAATATAAGTGTTAGAATTATTAATTTTCTGTAGTTGTCATAATTGTAAGTTGAATTTTCATACTCCTATCAATATAATGTAGAGCAATGCTAAATTGCTAAGCTATTTCTATCTCAATCCTAAATTCATCACACTCTTTCAACGTCAAGTGTAAGAAGTAACATCAACAGCTAGCTGCAATTGAAATTAGGTTTGTAGTCATCTTGTAACTTGCATGTAGTAAGTCAGCCTGGTTTTAGTTGGCATTTTTGCTCTACTATTTTCATGATTGTACTAGAATTTATGTAACAACTACATTATTGAAAGATTTTGCTATAAGTGTTATACTATTAATTATTATGAATTCAACTCTTATGTCAACGTGCAATGTCTATACATTTTCACACATAAAATTAATTTTCTAGAATAAATGGATTAAACAATATACAAGAATAATTTATATACTTACTACTCGATCATATATAAATTGTGGCCATTCAATTTATATGTATGTTTGTTTAACAAAGTTTTATCGATAACAATTTTCTTTGTACAACCAGTTAGGGTCTGTTTAGATTGACTGAATGAGCTGAACTGAACTTATTGGAGATTAATTGAACTGAATATTTTATGAGAGAAGGAAATCAACCGAACTGAACTGAACTTATTGGAGCTGAACTGAATTGAACTGAAAATAATGTGAAGAGAACAGGCTCTTAGTTGTACACTTGTACATACGATGTATACTACGGAGTATCTTGATTGTAATTTTCTTAGTCTTTAACAAGGGCATGTTGGTACTATATGATCGTTGATGTGACTATATGTGAACATGTACTTGTGTATCACTAATAACTCGAAAACAATGTACTTCAATGAAAAATACATTTGTCATCATAATATGAGTTAAGTACGTAATTAAAGTTAGTTGTTATGCATTTATTTATTAGATCACTCATCCATGCAAACACATTAACATGTACGCACATGCATTTGTGTGCTAGGGTAGGGATGAGAGAAGAAGAGTATCAGATTGTGGGTCAACTTATAAATGGATTTTCAAGACCTAGTCTAGGTTTCCTGAATCGAATATGCACAATCAAACATCAAGTCATCATATATAAGAAAATTTATACATCAATATATGACACGACATGACATAAAATTAAGAGATGATATGCCGCAGCCACAATTTTATTTATTGGGAACATACATTACATTGCCTTGGCACCTTAGCATGTGGGCTTGGGCCTTGAATTACTCATCCAAGAAAACCTTTATAAGTTCTTGACACGGCATGAACCATGGCCAATGGTCATTGGACCAATCTAGCCAACTAGCATGCGAGTTTGGGCCTTGAAATTCCTATGGAAACAAAATTTAATATATTTTTGATATAACATGACCTAATGAAAGAAAATTTTGAGCAAATTAAATTTACAAGGATTATGGCCATGTTTGGTAAAAGCTTTTGTTTAGTAACTTAGTCAAACCACATAAAAGTGGAGTATTTGGAAATCTAGTGTTGAAGGTATTTATTAACTTCGGAGTAACAGTGGTAACTTTTATCGAGAGCTAAAATTATTAGCTTTTGAAAAATTAAATGTAGTTGTGTATTTTGTTTTTGTTAACTCAATAAAATTAGAAAATTGTTGATCCACATACACTAATTACATGTACCGATGTACACATATCATTAGTTTGTTCTTTATCAATTGCAATATTTAGAGTTTAATGCTAGCTTGATTAATCAATCTTAGATGTACTTTCATTGATACTAAGAAGCATTTTTAGGCCTATTGTGCCATAAAATTAGGTGTAATTTTCCATCCTTATATTAGCTAAGTGAGCCTTACTAATATTGAGGGATTACGCTCTAATATTGGGTCAATCGAGGTACAATATGGCAAATTTTGCAATGGTGATTGTGACATATTTGGCTCTTAATCAAAAAGAAAGAAAGAAAATTGATGTTTTTTTTGGATTATTCTTTGGAGTTACAAAGACAAAATGCATGTTAGCTAATAAGGAATACTATCTATAAAATTCTCATCTGTCTTCCATTAGATTCTTGCATTATATTTCATATATATTTGTCTGCTTCTATAAACTGTTTTGTAATTTTCTGTAATCATCATATACTTGTATAATAATAACGTGGTCTCTATTATTCACCTGAAAACGATTTAGAAGTAAGTTTATATAAGCCTAAGATGTGTGATTCAATTAATTTAGACTTATCTAAATTTACCTTATCTCAACATATTTTGTCATTAATAAGATCAACTTATCTAAATTTATCATTTTTCTACAAAAAATGAGTACATTTTGATCCACTTACAAGTTACTCATACAAGCTTATACTCCGTAAAAAGTTTCATTCCTAAATAACTAATAATTAAAGTAGTAACTATTCAACCTTATAAAATACTCGTTTGTAATTATTATTTCTCCTATTCGCTAACGCAGGACAATTACATGTGGACATCAAACATATATATTTCATGATCCGATGATTTCAATAATTATTGGATTTTAGTTTTTTACCAATCTGCCAAATTTCCAACCTCCATATTGTGTATGACATCAATTTTTGTCTCACCGTATGTGGAACAAAACAATTTCACCCGTAAAAATTTTTGGTTGGTTTTTCCTTACAAAAATTGGTAAGATTTCATTCAACATTTTTTTTCCCCTTTTACTAAAGGCATACATCTATATAATTAAGGACATTTTACTATTTCAGGCATTATATATGTACACCGCTACTCTAGTCTACATCACCCCTTAGTTTATATAATAGAGATTTACGAGTACATTCTTATATTCCTACAATTTCTTGTAAATATTACAAGTAATAAGTTTTCCGATATATATCAGCTTTCTAATGTCGTTATTAATAACTAGAATTTGTTAAATACACCCGGGTGCACTTTAGTTTAATTATAAAAAAGAATCAATCAATTTGATTTTATTGAATATCTTATGATTACAATTACACATAAAAATGTAAATTCATGTATAAACCTAAAATACAAAGTGAAATGAATACAAGTATATAATTTATGAATAAAGAATCAAATTAAAATACAATATGAATTAAATGGTAGGCCATGCATGCAAATATATTATATGTCCATATTTTCACCCCTTAATTAAACTTGGCATGCTTGCACTCTGGAGGAAAAGCTTGAGAAAATCTCTTCCAATCAGTGCAATAATTGTAGATCATATAGTTATCTTGAACCCATTTCATTCTTCTCCTGCTGTTTGCATCAAGATCATGAGTCTTCCACTTCCCGTTCGTCGAGGTGTCGATGTTGAAGTTCCGGTAGTAGGCGTTGAAGGGAGCCTTAGACCAATCTGTCTTCACCAATCCTCCTTGTGTTGCCCAATCGTCGGCATTCCAAAGACTAGCGTATATTCTTTGGGGTTGGCTCTTTGGGAAAAATGTAATCCCTTTGTTCTCGTAGTTTCTGAATACTCTTAAGGGCGTTTCATCCACCAAGAACCTATAAAATATAATTAAAGCTTAATTAAAATTTGCTACATATAGTATTATATTGTACATACTACAAAGTCATGTAGGCCTTGTAAAATCGACTGGTACTCATGTTACTCGACCCGTTGCACAGATATTTTAATTTGGTACAATTAAATTGACTTACATAATTAGTTGTGGGTTCCAAACAATGGAATAGGTGTGAAAGTTGCTTGTTGGGTCAAACCAAAGGTGGAATTGTTGTTCCCTATTGCCTTGTCCTTGGCTAAACACATTGGTGTGAAGAGTGTAAGGCTGGCCAGTTACGTTCCCTAAGAACTCGAAATCGATCTCATCGTGTCTTCCTGTGCTTTGATCAGATGTCAACTGCAAGCAATGACGACATTTTAATCATCAATTATAAACCTTAAAATTTTTGTACTAAAAATATCATATAATATAAGCTACCAATTAAATTAAGATAGACTTACATATAACGTCGTGACAGTACCAGCAGAATTACCAGGAACAAGTTTCATTTGCATGTCAATTCTTCCAAACAAGTATTCCTTCTTAGACCGGAACCCGGATCCTGAACCCTGATCTAAGGCGAGCGAGAGTTGCTCGCTACGAGAGCCGGAAATTTGCACCCTATCACCACCAAACGTTGTTTCAAAATCGTCGAAAAAGTTGCCTGCGCCGTAAGCCGTAGAGGTTACCATAATAGCAACCACTAAAGCAAACTTAAGCACAAGAGCTTTATCATTTGAGAAAATTCCCATTTTTTTGTAACAAAAATAAAAAAGATGAATTATTAATGAATGTGTTAAAGATGATTAAGAATGAATAAAAGACGAGGTATATATAGATAATAGACATGCAAATAAAATAAGTTAGGAAAGTTCATAGTACGTAGTTTGAATAATAATGTAAGACGTAAAGGTAATAACTGGAGTAAGGAGTATTAGCTGGTCAATTATTAAATTCAACCGAAATATTATTGATTGTATTTTTTTTATAATTTTATTTAGGAAATATTGATCTGAAATCGAATTGTGTTTTCTTTTTTGGTGGGTCCCTTGGATTTGGTTGGTACTCTAGTTCTACCGATTTTGTGGAGAAATAATTGTTTGAAATTATGGAATTGTCTGTTTTTAAATCATGCAGCACCGAAAAATACTTATTTTGCTGTGTTTTTTAGTGAAAAAATTCTGAAATTATTCAAGAAAATTATTGTTTAGTATTTAATTCTACTCTGTTAAAAATATTGGTAAATATCTTACCTCAAATATATGTATGACAACCTAAAATAAAGCATTTTTTTATAAGTTATTACAATATGATTTTGTTACTAGATGTTGGTACACATGCACAAATAAAAACTTGCAAACTAGCAATTGGCATTCTATAGCGCCTGGTTTATTTTAGATTGTCTTGGGAATACACCTTTAAGGGTTGTTTGGGTCCAATTTAGTCCAATTGGGCCTAGGCATTAAATGATCCAATTAAAAGCCCAAGGTCAAGGTTCAACTCTCCAATGGTGCTAAAGTCAAAGGTCAGCCCTCAAAGCAAGCCAATTGGGCTAAGGCCCAACTTCTCCATGTATGAAGAGGTATAAAAGCCATCAATATTCATACATTCAGTAGATTGATTCATTCATAGATTCACATATTCTCATATATTCTCATATATTCAAGCAAAGCCTCAAGCAACTAACTCTCTTGCATAGTGTTCTCTTTCTACACATTGTACTGACTTTAGCATCGGAGGGGCCTTCCTCGGCAACACCCCCGAGGCTAGTTTACGTGTGTTTACTGTGCAGGAAACCTTCGGCCCAACATAACTTGGACCGAATCCAGTCTTCTCCGTTTCAGCGGACCTTCGGCAAGGTCCCATTGTTTTCACCCGAAACAATTTGGCGTCGTCTGTGGGGAAGACTTTCAAAAATCTTTAAGCCAAATTTCTAACCAAGATCATCTTGCAATTATCTTAGTAGCAATGGCTAAGAACCGCAAGAGCAAAAGCCTCCGTCAAGGAGCGGGCGAAAAGCCTAAAACCCCTACACCATCACCCTCGCCGGACCGGGACTCTCCCAAGGGTGCCGGCTCGGGGGGAGGATCATACAAGGAGGATTCCCTTTCTCCCGTAATTCATGACTCTCATTATAGGCCGAGTCACTCTCGGTCTAGCAGGGGTGAGTCCGATCATAGGACACATTCGGTGCCCCAAAGCCAACCATCGGCTGCGCGCCCTCATTCCCATACTCGGCCGAGGATCCCTTTGACGGGGCCCAGCTCGGAAGAGGTGGAAAGAGCGCTGGCAGTGCTCATGGAGGCGATGAGGGCACAAAATATGCCACCACCTCGTGATCGAACTCCTCCGCATACCCGGCATCAGCGGAGGAAGTTAGACCATGATGGTGGGAAGCTTCCTTCCTTCCGGGAACTGGAAGAGTGGGAAGAGGATTCCTGGAAAAATGAAAAAGAGAGGAAAAAGAACCCTCAATTTTTAAAAGGATCCTCCTCCTCAAGACCAGAAGCGCATAAGAGCAGCAGCTCAGCTTCTCGGCCAGAATCTACTCACCGAGAACCTGAGACTGCTCGCCGAAGCGTCCTTGACCGACTCGGCGGCAAGGAACCGAGCGTGCGCAGTCGCCTCTCGTTCCCTGCAGCCGAGGCCCAGACTTCCCAGCCAGGGACGAAAACCACTCCTACCTCTCTAAGAGGGCGGAGCGCGGTCCCTTCGGCCAGGAACAAGGGCAAGGCCGTTATGCTACCCGCCAGTTCACCATTCGAGCAATGGATACTGGAAGAGCGCGTACCCACGGTTAAAATACCGTCGCACATCACATATGACGGGACCTCGGATCCGAAGGATCACGTGGCCTCGTATGAGACTCATATGCATCTTTGCCCCAGATCCGAGGCGACTTGGTGCAAATATTTCCCAACCACTCTCAAGGGGGTCGCGCAAGCGTGGATCTCCAAGGGAGTAAGGCAAGGCTCCATAACAGGGTGGGATGATCTGTCCTCCAAGTTCAGGAGCAAGTTTTCCACGGCAAACCGCCGAGAGAAGACTACTGCAGAGCTCATGAGTCTACAACAGGGGGAAACCGAAAGCCTCCGAGACTATCTGACCCGTTTCAGTAATGAGTCATCCAGCGTCTCTCAGCTGGACCAGGGGCTAGCCGTTTTTGCAATACAGAATGGCCTTCAGCCCGGAAAGTTCCTAGATTTCATGGTCATGCATACCCCGCAGACCTTGGAGGAAGCTCTGAATGCCTCGGATAAGTTCATCCGAGCCGAAGAATGGAACAAAGCGAAAACCCAACCTCAATTTGGGGGAGGGAAACAAAGGCAAATACCCTTGTCTGAAGGCCAAGGCCATAAGGCAAAGGGAAAGTCAAAGGCCTCGGAGCAATCTTTGGCCAGCGACCCAAAGAAGGAAAGATTTGCCTCATACACAGGCAGATACGAGTCCTACACTCCGCTCTCTCTTCCACGCGCCAAAATTTACAGCGTGACGAAGGAGGAGCAGAGTTACCGAAAGCCGAGACCACTCCCAGAGTGGTATCAGCGAAAAAATAAAAATCAGTGATGCGAGTTCCACGAGTCTTCGGGACACAACAGTGAGGAGTGTATCCAACTGAAGGACCAGATAGAGGACATGGTCCGGAAGGGATACTTGAAAAAATATATCGCGGATCACCGCGAGAAAAAAGAGTCCGAGAAGTCAGCAAAGGACTCTCGGCAAGACCTCGACTTCCCCCGGAAAAACAGTAAAAAGCCGGAGGGGAAATTCCCTCCGATCAATGTTATCTCAGGAGGAATATACTCTCGGAGGGAGCACAAGCGACACCTTAGAGCTTTGACTCACCAGGTGAACAACGCTGACATTCAATCTCCCCAGTCGCCGATGCCGAACATGACGTTCACAGCCGCCGACTGCCGGGGGATTACGTTCCCTCACGAGGATCCGTTGGTGATCATCGCCACGGTGGCCAACCACAACGTCAGTAAGGTCCTTGTTGACGGTGGCAGCGGAGCAAACATTCTGTTCCGAAAGGCCTACAATCAAATCAAGTTGAAGCCCAATCATCTTACGCCGGTACCCTACCCGGTATCCGGGTTCAACGGGCTTCAACTTATCCAGATGGGAAGGTGACACTTCCTGTCACCATCGGCTGCGATGAGGCAGCCAGGAATGTCATGATTGAATTTTTGGTCATCGACGCTCCTTCAGTGTACAACGTGATTTTGGGGAGACCCATAATTCATGAGATCCAAGGGGTCGTCTCAACTTATCATTAGTTGATGATTTACGTCTCAGACGCCGGCTTCCCCGAAAGGATACAGGGCAACCAAAAGGACGCCCGAAGGTGCAACTACCTCAAACCATCCAATAGTCGCCCAGATGACAAGGATGAGGAGGAGAAAGAAAAAGAAAGAGAGCCGAGCACAAAAAAGCCGAAAGGCCTAAGTGCTTCGGCCCAAGGATCTGTACCCAGAGGTAAAGGGCCCGAAAGGGAAAAGGCTAGCTCTTCAGCTGAGCCGCAAGACTCAGAGAGCCAGCCGAAGAACAAAAAGACTGGGACACCTGCCGACATTGGCAGCAGGCCAGATTATGAAGAGTCCAGTCCATCAGCAATGGACATGGACCAACAAACTGAGACAGTTGAGTTGGCCGAAGGAGACGTTGAGAAATGTGTAACAATCGGGATGGACCTTGATCCGAACACCCGTTGTGAACTTATTCAGCTCCTTCGAGACAACAAAGATGTGTTTGCTTTCTCGGCAGCTGATATGCCCGGGATAAGTTCAGACCTCATCTCCCATAAGCTTAATGTTGACCCGACGTGTCGACCAGTTAAGCAAAAGAAGCGGAATTACTCCGCCAATAAGAACCGAGACATCGCAGCCGAGGTCAAAAAATTGTTGGAGGCAGGATTCATCGAACCTTGCCAATATCCAGAATGGCTGGCAAATGTGGTGATGGTTCAGAAGCCCAATGGTACCTGGAGGATGTGCGTTGACTTCACGGACCTAAATAAGGCTTGTCCAAAGGATTTCTATCCCTTGCCGAGGATCGATCAGCTAGTCGATTCGACAAGTGGCCATGCCTTGCTTAGTTTCATGGACGCATTCTCGGGGTATCATCAGATCTTTATGCACCCCGACGATCGAGCAAAGACAGCATTCGTCACGAACGCTGGGGTGTACAATTACAAAATGATGCCCTTCGGATTGAAAAATGCGGGGGCAACCTATCAAAGGCTGGTGGATCAAGTTTTCGCCGATCAAAAGGGCCGAAACATGGAAGTCTATGTTGACGATTCGATCGTCAAAAGCAAAAAACCAGAGGACCATGTAAAGGACCTGGCTGAAACTTTCGCCACCTTGAGAAAGCATCAAATGAAGCTGAATCCGAAGAAGTGTGTCTTCGGCGTGAAGTCAGGGAAATTCCTTGGGTTCATAGTCAGCAAAAGGGGGATTGATGCCAATCCCTCTAAAGTCAAAGCGGCGCTCGACCTTCCTGAGCCGAAAACGAAGCGGGATGTTCAGCGGCTCACCGGAAGAATGGCAGCCCTCTCGAGGTTCATTTCCAGAGCTTTGGATAAGGGGTTACCTTTCTTCAAAGCCCTGAAACTCCCAAAAACAAAAGAGCTCGTTTGGGAGAGAGAGAAAAAAGAAGCCTTTAAGCAGCTTCGGGAGCATCTGGCTCAACTCCCAACGCTGGCTAGCCCAGCAGAAGGAGAAACTTTGTATCTGTATGTGGCCGTTAGCCCAGCCACCATTAGTGCAGTACTGCTGAAGGAAGAAAGCAAAAGTCAGCAACCGATC